AGAAGTGAAATAAAATAACAAACAAATGTACTTATCTACTGAAGTTATTATCTGGCAAATCTATCATTAAATTCTTTGATAACATTGATTATGAATGAATTCCTGTGTCTCTTTGTGTGCCTCCCCCTCAATGGGTTTAATTCTACCTCACCTCTGATTAGGGATAAACTTATTTAAAGGGTGTTTGGTGTCATTAATAATTTTAGTGAATTTAAGTGGTCAACATGGGTGTCCTCAATATGTTTAATATGCAACCCATAACTTTACCTGCCCTTTTCATTATTTTCCTAAATTTAACCTTGTTCATTTCAGATAGACTATGGAATAATACTGAAACCATAAGCAGAGCACAAAACCACTAAACCTGTAGGCATCAAGATTTTCTGATCATGGGGATAAAAAGGGGCTGAAAACAAAATTTTGCCATGTATTTTATTATTAGTGTGGGAATATTGACTCTTCTTCAATCCCTTTCTGAATCTGTTGAAACCTACAAATTCCACATACATGGACAAATAGAAATATGCAAATTTTAAATAACAAAATAGAAACATTCTAAATAATTATCTTTTCTCAGGTACGACTGTGACAGCCTATGCATTACATCCTGGTGCTGTAAATACAGAACTAATGCGGCATATGTCAGAAACTTGGTGGTTTTCTGAATTCCTTCTAAAACTGGTGGCACCAATCAATTACATTGCCTATAAGACACCTGAAGAGGGAGCTCAGACCTCCATTTATTGTGCAGTAACTCCTGGTATTGAAAAAGAATCTGGCAGCTACTTTAGGTATTCTAATTAATTGTGTAGTTATTTTAACATTTTCCAGAACTTAGCTGAATAGTGCAGTAAGTTACAACTTGTAACTACTATGTGCACTACAGAGCTTTAGAGAAAATCTAGGTAGGGGTCATGCGACGTGTAAATCACCAGGCAGGTGGGTGGGAGAGGCGGTGCACTGAACCATGGAAATATTTACACCTCAAATACCATTTTATCAAATTTCACTCCTTGCGAAACGGGATGTATGGATGGATTTATTCAGTGTAAACAGCAAGGATAACCTACATAAGTCTGAAGAAAACTTCTTTCCAGTGGGGTCCTTCTGGTCGTGATTGGGCAGTACACTGGGAGACAATCCCCTACTCTCTTCCGAAGAGTGTATTGCGTTCTTTAACATGTATGTGGCCCATAATGCACACAGGACCAACAGCTTAAACGTCTCATCCGAAAGAAGGTGCGCTATCGTAACTTGCATTCAGCCCTCCATCTGTAATACAAGGAGAGCAGCGATGGGAATTGAATGGGGGGACAAAGAGATCTCCACGGTTCAGCGCACACACAGTGGCTAACACCAGTTTAACCAATTGAGCTAAACTGCTTTCTTGTTATCAGGTTAAGAATTCCAAAAAGATTTTTTTGAAATAATGATATTTATATGTTGTTTACACAGCGACTGTACCAAGAAGAAATCCAGTGATCTGTCATATGATGACGATTTAGCAAGAAAACTTTGGGATGTCAGCTGTGAGATGGTAGGACTTGAGTGAGACATGGTGGAGCAGTATACCGTAAATCCTTGAATAAGCGCTGCGGCGCTTATACATTTCTTGGAGGATTCAGTGCCGGTGCTCATTCAAGAGCGGCGCTTATTTAGAAAATATTGGCTTAGCGCTTTCCATGCCCATTCGCATGTTACCTATCTCACATATTCCTTTGGACCTACTGTATATAACACGTACTATCTGTTCATTTGAACACTGTATACATTGTATTTATAACCCTGTCTCTCAAAGTGTTTCATTACACACAGGGTAATATGTAGTGGTATATCTATACCCATACATACTACAGAATTGACTACTGGCTGTATTTAAAAGCAGCCTTTTTAATGCAGTACCTTAGCAATGTAGTTGAAATGCTGTTAACTACAAATTTTTTTCTTGATGATTTTTTAGAAACATTTTATAGCTTAAGTGTTAAAATTAAAAATAGTATATAACACTAGAACGGGTATAAAGGTGAAGTTTATATGAAATATTTAATAATTTCTGAAATAGGTTTTTTCTAATTTATAGTGTACAGTAATGAAAATCTTGTACAGTAGCATTTCCTGCTAATGATCCTTTCTATGAAAGTGGTTAGGTACCTCTACTTGACAGAACACAAAGTAAACCTTTTAAGACTGCATTTGGATTGTCAAAACAGTCGAAAATCAGTGATGTTATTAAAATTTACCAACTTGATTTAATTGCTAAAATTTTCAGAAGCAACTATGAATTATCATTTAAGAGCACCTTGATAATCGGCTGATTTAACATTGTTGGAGCGTTTGAGTGTACTTTATAACAAATCAAATAAATCCTTGTCATTTAATTGGTGAATTTTGTATCATGTGAAATTGGTTATTTACACCATTTCGTCACTCATCATGCTACCGACCGTACATTTTTGTTCCATCTGTTTTGCTTCATTGCACGCCTCAAACTAATACAATATTTACATTTGCTAAAAAGATGCTGGACTGCTCCATTCAGAAAAAAGGTAGATGTTTTTTCATAAAAATATTAAATGACAAGAATCTATTTTAGTTATGTTATAAAACAAATAATGAATGTTTTTTCATTCGTTGAAAGATTGCCTGTTCCATTCAACTTAGCCCTGCTTCGTTGAATGGAACAGTCAACCTTTCAACTTATTTGTGTAACAATATACTGTTATCGTATTGTAATTTTGTTTGTATTTAAGTTAATAAGGGATCCTTCAACTTTTAAAATTTAAAGTCGGTACTCAACATTAGTTTCTTGACTTTACATTTTCTTGATCCTTTTAGATTTAAGTATTGAAATATAATTGTTCTAGAGGTTTCTGAATAAACTGAAATAGACATTTGTCATAGACACTAATATTCTGTGTTTGTATTGTTGAAGGTGTCATACTAGCTTCATTAAAACATAAAAATTCATCACACAATATGCAATACCTTGTGCAAAAAATGTGTCCCAATTGGAAAATCCATGTGTATGACACTTGGCCTCATAGCTCAATTGGTAGAGTATCCAAATGGTAACAAGAAGGTCTTGGGTTCAAATCCCGATGGGACATACATTTTTCAAAATTAGCTTTTATTAGTTTTCCCAAAAGCAATATTTTACACCTACCTACAGTACAAATGCCTCATACAAGAGAAGATTAGGTTTCCCTGACTATCTTTCGAAATAACCTGCGGAGCTGCACTAAAAGTAGGTTTATAGAGACTAGTTAAGAGGCAACGTCTTGGATTCTAGCAATGGTGGGAATTAAATTAATACTCTTGTATTTATTAACACATACTTCTATGCAAGCAGCACACTTCATCAGATAAAGGAGGCAATGTTGGAAATGGTGTTAATACTCGGCACACTTCAGATAAAGGAGGTAGGTTTATAGAGACTAGTTGATATTCTGTATTAACACTACTGTAAGTATGCAACACACTTCATCAGATAAAGGAGCATGTCTCGGACTCTGGAAATGTTGAGAATGTTGTTAATACTCTATATTTATTAACACATGCTTCTATATATGCAGCACACTTGATCAGATAAAGGAGGTAGGTGTATAGAGACTAGTTGATACTCTATATTAACACATGCTTCTAAGTTCGCAACACACTTCATCAGATAAAGGAGCAACGTCTCGGACTCTGGAAATGTTGAGAATGTTGTTAATACTCTATATTTATTAACACATGCTTTTATGTATGCAGCACACTTGATCAGATAAAGGAGGTAGGTGTATAGAGACTAGGTGATACTCTTTATTAACACATGCTTCTAAGTTCGCAACACACTTCATCAGATAAAGGAGCAACGTCTCGGACTCTGGAAATGTTGAGAATGTTGTTAATACTCTATATTTATTAACACATGCTTCTATGTATGCAGCACATTTGATCAGATAAAGGAGGCAATATTGGTGGGAATGTTAATACTTTAAACACATGCTTCCATGTATGCAGCACACTGCAGATACATCACGATGCAGATGCGTCACGACATTGCGAAGTGCCTGCTCTTGTTCATATCAAACTCAAGTCGAATCAATCCGAGACAGCCCGAGTGGAGTTTCAGGCAACTGTTTCGTACGGGAAAAAAAATATACATACAGGAGGTAGGTTTATAGAGACATACTTCCATGTACTTCGTTTTCTAATGGAATGGTAGTGGTGTTAAAACTTGTAAATATAAAAAATACTGAAAATTTGTTTAATCATCTCAGTTTATTGTGTTTAATTTCAAGACTAAATGTGATTAAAATAGTAATTACAATTTTAACATAATAAAATTATTAAAATTCTCACTAACTTCAGCACCAACTCAGCCAGTAAACTAAACAAATTGTGAACAAATGCATTAACTGATGAGGCATATCATCAAAGCATATTGCTACAATACAGTATATGTTCAATTTTGTTATTTCTTCACCTTGAATGCTCATTCATTTTGTTCAATTCCCGGAAAAACCCCTCCCAACAGCCTTTGGCAAAAATATACATTGATTGTCAAAATAATATTTCAAATGCTTACTATGCAGATGAATATACAACACATTATTATAACTATTATATTACTAACAAGATTAAGTTACTTTTGAGATTATGGGTCATTCACTGCATCATGTACATGGCATCAACAAATCCTGAATCATTTTTAGCTGGCATCTGCTTCATCAAGAGGTTTATGCTTTTCATATAATAATCAATTACACATTTATCCTATTATTACATATCTATTGTTATATACAAGTTATAGTTTTTTTTAATATTTCATTCTCTATTGCACATGCTAACAGCTACCATTAATATTAATATTCACAAAGATTTTTTGATGTTGCAACAGTTTCCCTTCACAGTGATATTTGTCCAAATAATATTCAATCATCGATAAATTATTTGAACTGTTTGAGAAAATATTTTTAGCTATCAAATATTTCTGCTATAATGGCTGCCAGACATAAGTCTTTT